GGGAAGCGCTGCCGAAATTTTCTTGATTTAGAGGAGTTAGATTATATTTTGACAGGTGGCGATTCTCGCGATCTACGCTGTATAGGGAAGATTGTGTCAGGGTCTACCTTTGCTTCGGGCACTGTTTAGAGGTAGACCTGGGCTTAGTTAATTGGGATGATTTGAGTGAGATCGTGATATAGGGATTATTCTCCATGGACTTATAGGTTTAGCCTAGGGATTGACTTGTCTTGTGTTACAGGTCCTCTTGATCGTATTGACTCAGGATTTGGACTAGTTTCAGCTTGATCCTACGAGGATCATCTTCTGTTATCACTGATAACAGGTCGGTTGCCGATTCGTCGGTTTACGATTCAACTCCAATTCACCCCTGCCACTCAACCTAAAGGCTTTAGCCTTGTGATTGAACTGTTTTGTTGTGTTTTCACCCGGACTTTATTGAATGGTCATCCAACAAAAGTACTGAGTATTTGTTTAAGAGTTGCACGAGTGAGGTTTGTATGGCTAAAGTGAGGGGTATGAGTGCAAGGAATGGTTGAAGTTGACCCCATGTAGTGCGTAGACTTCTAGATGAATCTTTGATGTGATTGCAGGTGCGTTTGTGGTTCGAACTCTGGATGTGATTATCTGCGATTACATACGTATATGGCTGAGAGGAGCCCCACTGTGACTGTAAGAAATGATCGTCCTATATAAATAAACCTAAGTACGTATTTATAAGTGCCCTGAGTATTTAAGAGGCCTACTGTGAGTGTGAATAAGGGTTAACCGGATTATGCCTCGAGAGGAAAGGGAGGCTCCCCTTTCACCCTTGTTTTTTAAAGTGTGTATGGTTTGACGTTGTAGTCCGTGACAGCCGTCAAAATCAAACCCCTTGACTTTCGCCCAGGCCCGGAGTGAGACTTATCTCCAGGGCAGTAAGAGGCGACTGCCACCACAAGTATGGACCTGTGTACCACCCGCTCTGCACAGAGTGCAGAAGAGGGTGTGTGATCTTCAACCGCGCATGGCGGTTGTCCAGCGCCGAGAGATTAACCCTCAAGGCGCGTGTCAGCCGACACTTGAGTATCGAATGCGACCCTCGAGATTAACGAGGACCGCGCGAGTACGGGTACTACATGGTACGCCATCATCGCGACTGCTTGCGTACGTTTGCATTGCTAGTCGATATGAGTTAGCCCTGCGTCYGCGCGGTTTTATATCAAGTYTCGCGYGCGACGYCTATCCAATTTCCGTCGGRAAGTTAYGGGACGGCTRCTGAAGGGACTAGGAGTGTTGTCGCGTTGTTCGATGTGTGTGCGTGCGTGTGTTTTATTTTTGTGTTTGTTAGAGTGGTGTGCGCGTGGTGTGTGGGATGCGTCCTAGTCGACCGACGACGAGCCGCGCTTGGGACTTCAGCTCCCCCCAGATGTCAGTTCGTGTGCGAGTATGATATACGTATTACCGCGCGTAGCCCCTATGCTACAACGAACGAGAAACGCCCTCGGCTGGTCCACCCATGCGATTGCAACCGAGTAGCTTTCGTACTGTGGACTGGTAGCTCGGCGGGGATACGCCCACCGAAGGGAGGTGACAGCTCCCGTAAGGTGGAGGTAAGTTGTACCTCGCGTAGACCCTATCTTGTCGTAGGGGCTCGCGAGAGGTATGGCAGGCGCACTCGGCCGGAGCGGCCTAAGGAAGCTCCATTTGCGCGTTCCTGACGAGGTTGGTCCAACTCCTGCGTGACGCGGCCGAAAGGGTCCCGCGCTGCCGCATGCGGTGCCGGACCGATGCGCCCGACAACGCCAATGTCAAAAATATTCGATTTCTTCAATCTCACCAGTCACTCAAGTTGGTAACCTGTACGCTAGACTCCCCCCCGAGCTCGTAAGTTTTGAATCGCTATTATGAGTTAGGACTAATCCCCTGTCCACCAGCTTTCACTGTCTGCGGCTTATTCTGTGTCACAACGCAGCATGCTTGGATAGCAACGATTAGTCACACTGATTAATCAAACTAAGAAAGAACCTGAAATTAATGGGAAGGGAAAGTGGTTACTTTGCAACAGTCAGCGTCTTATCTGAAAACTTAGCCAAGACGACCATGATGAAGCGCGTTATTGACCCTCAGCAGCAATGCTCATTACAGGCTAAAAGTCGAATGGAGATGGCAAAGCAGGCTATCGTCAGAGTTGATGCGACAAAAGGTAAGTAAATCGCCTTCAGAGAGCGAGAGACCCCTCCCACTTGTCGGTCTCGCGGCCCTCAACCCTTTCTCACGCGTCCTCATAACTCGAGCGTCTATTCTGATATAGGGCCCCAACATCTGTCTCATCGAGCATCTGGCTCAGTCATGAGCTGCCGTTTGCTTGGACCCGTTGGCGTAGACGGCGAGATTACACACATTGATCTCTTTGACTTATCCTGTTCGCTCCTTTCCCCGCACTCTCACATCCTTGCTCAGGTCCCCTTTCTTGTTTATTCCTTCACGACTCCCTCCGCAACTAGCTCATGGCCAAAGCAGATCATGCATACACCGATCGTAGTGGATGCGCTGAGCTTCTCATTGCTTACACAAAAAGAGAGGGGTCTCTCACTGATCTCGTACTAATTAGCGAGTAATTACAGTCCACACTCCAATGAAAAGGTTGCTGATCTAAGTCCCAGACAGGGAGGGACCGTGCTCAGTGCGAGGCAAGCGGACCAGGTAGCAATTACACCACGCCCCGCAGACTAGCCTCTCTTGATGGTTACTTCTCACGCTGTCCCGGCGGGTTTTTCCTCTTTCCTCATCTTTTCGTCATTACTGCAGGTGCAGGCACACCGCGCGAGCGTGTGAGCGGTGGTTGACGTCAACTATCTCTCTCTAGGGTAGCCATATACGTTAGCCTCCTCTCGCTCTCCCGGACTGCCGCGTCCCTCTCTCCTCTCAGTTTCGCGGGGTCTAAACGGGACGTCGTGCAAGTCTGTGCAAAAAAAAAAAAAAGTTGGCATCAGTCGTACACCGTCCCGTTCCCGCTCATACTTCGTCCCTCTTCTTCGTTAATAGCCCTCTAGTTCTCCTGGCCTTACCACGTGCAGTCCGCACATGTGTCCAACTGCCCACACTCCTCATTCTTGTGCATCGCCTGCAGTGCTGACGACAACCTTTTCTCTCTCCCTTTACGCGTTGACCTTCTGTCTCTTTTTCGCACGACACCTGTCAAAAAAAAAAAAAAAGGAATCGCGTGCCCCACGTCCTTGCCTCAGCCTCTTCGCTGCTGGCCTTCTCGCCTTGCATGTCGATTCTCTCTCGCTTCACACATGTTTCTTCCCCTTGCTCTGCTTTTCTCCGGTCCCGCGGCCTCTGGGCGTCAGTTGTCGTGAGCTGGCCTCAGATCCCTCTTCCATCGGCTTTGCAGCCCGGTGATGCCTCTGGATCTCGCCTGGTCTGATCCAGGACCTGAGGTCCGTCTCCCGGTCCTCCGCCTCGCTCATCTCGCTCTCCCCACCTGAGTCTCGTTCCAGGTGGGCCAGCTCCCAGTCCGCCATGTCCATCGAGGTCTCGGTCTCATGATATGAGACTGTTACCTGCATTTTCGCCGTCATCCCATCTCTTCTGCAGCGCCTCTCCACACGGTCTTTCGTCTCCGTGATAGCGTCTTGCAGCCTTCCATCAGTCCGCATCTCCTCCTCTTTTCCTTCCTCCACATTGATCCTCAGTCTCAGCTCGTCACTCCCATCATAATTGAGTATAGTCGTGATCCAGGGCCCCTCCCCGGACATAGGCTTCCATCGAATCTGGTGGTACCAATAGCTGGGTCTATACCCATGCAACGCCATAGCCACCCAGAGATAGCCACGCCCACTATAGCCAACGCTCAGAACGTTACTTGCCTGTACCGCACTAGAGGCATAGGACAGAACAGGACTCAAACCGCTGGGAGAATACAGCCTCAGCGTTTCCTCTCTATTCGCAGCACGTCAGGCTCACACGCTCACTCAAAAACCCAGCAGCAATCTCCCTTTTATAACACCCGGTGAGGCCGCGACCCCTGTATTCTAAACGAGAGTCTCGAGTATCCCTTTTTAGACTTCTGCACTCTGGTTTTCTATAACTTCTATACTAATTAATTTAAAGAAAAATAGTCTTCACAAAARGAAAATGAAAAGYRAGGCGCCAATGRTCAAATCTCATTACCACAGGCTGGACACAGTAATCCCATACTGTAATATCGACGGAGCACCTTTTCGCTTCAAAAGCAGACCACCGACCTACTCCTACCGGGTGCCCGTATCCGATGGTAAGGAGGGGGCTTATGACCCTCCATAAGGGGGTGATAAGTCTCCTACCGATGCGGCCGCGGGTCGCCCTTCTTTTGAGGCCCGATCACGCAGCACTCAGTCGGCACATATTCTCAGACGGAATAAGAGGGGTCGGCCAATTCGGGCCACTGTTCCAAATTCGAACCGTTGGCTTCCCCTCGATGTGACAAGGAAGGTAAAGGAGGGCCGCACCTGAAAACCGGTAAAGTAATAATAAGAAAATTAATAATAATAATAATATAAAAAAAATCGCAGAAAAGAAAAGATGACAGTTCAAATTTCCTCCGCGAAGCAACCTCTCCTGAAGACTGTATCTGCCTCTTAACCTGGCCATCGGGGACCCACCGCGAGGTTCGAACGAACGGATCTGATACAGGCGATATACAAGGGGTAGGTAGAGCCCCAGACCATAAGACCGCAGTTGAAGTTCGAAAACCCGAATCGGCGGCCTTCCCTGCAAAGTGACTGGTCGACAGGCGGGAAACTGAAAAATAGGAAAATTAAGTAGTAACATTAATAATGATAAAAATGATGACAATCAGCAAGCAAAAAATGGAAAGAGAACTGTAACATCACAGTGGCCCGAAGCCACTGAATTTTCCCCAAACCATTGTGAGATCAAATTCGGCGCTTTGTTTTCGCTTTTCTCTTTTTCCTTTTTATCAGCGACCTCTATTTCGTACACCTAACCCATAACCCTGTAGAGCGAATCTCAGCGCGCGACAGAAAAGACCGCGCCAGTCCTGTCACTTTCGCGTCCGAGGGCGAACCCGGCGGCTACCACGGTCACAGGTCGGTTGTGCTCTGCTGTACAGCAGGGCGCCGAGCCTTCGTGGACCAATGGAAGTCCTGTGGCGCACCACTTTTGCTGAGGGCTACGCCACCGGGACTGGTCCACACCATACTACAGCCCAGGTACCAAGCGTCAAAGTGTTTCGGGAGTAGCTACAGATCGCAGCACTAAACTAAGGGTGGTACCAAGTAGGGACTTGGTACACAGAGGAGGGCCGGGACACCGCGCCCTC